GAGCAAACGGAGTTGATTAGGCCACGCTGCTCCCAACTGAAGCTGAAGGATCGTCTGAGCGTATGTGCTGGACTGCTGCAGATGTCGTATTGGAGGCGCAGGTTGGACTGACTGTATCTGACCGGAGACATTTAGCAGTAGTGTGTGGTAGTCGCCGCAAGTCGCCTCGAGCGCCGAGTTCTGTTCTATGGGTAGCGCTGCCGTGTTGTCCGTAATGGTGATCTCCATGGGAGAGCTGAAATCTTCACCCAATTGAGAGTGATTGTTCAGGCCCCAGTGATAGAGCCTTCCGTCCAGTGTGCGGGCCACCGTGTGCTCTAACCCAGCTGCAATGCTGCACACGCCCATGCTGTCTAGTTTCTGCAGGCACATCACATTGGCCCTCCGGATATGATCCCCACTGCCAAGGAGGCCATTATTAGAGGCTCCGAAGGTGAAAATTTGGGTGTGAAGCAGAGCGTATCCTTGGTGGAGTAGGTGTCTGGTGTTAGCCGCAAAGCTGCGCTCCGAGTGGTCACTGCCTAGGGATTTTACAGAGGCCCGGTCGTCTTCGGGCTCATCTTTCGCACTGGCCACCGACAGCTGGAGCACATCGTCGGCCAGGTTGTAGGGAGCAACTAACATCACAAAGTGCTCGTTTCCGGCTGCTAAGTCCAGCAGTTCCTTGCCCTCTTCGTAAAGGCGCATGTGTCGAGGCTGTTGTTCTGCATTGAAGACTTCTCCGCAGCTGCCCATGACGTAGGTCTCCCCACCGGCGGCGACGAAAACAACACCCTGTGCGGAGCAGCAAACCCGTCGAATGCGTACGCCCTCAGCATGCAATTCGAGGGGGTCGAAACCGAGGGTTTGCCACGCGTGGGGATGACCCACATCCCGGCCAGGTCCTGTGGCTTGGCGCTGCACAGAGCCATTGGTGAGGACCACGAATAGTTCCTGGCTGCCGGAGCAGAAGTCCATATCCATAACATCGGTACGCAGGAGTTGCAGGTCCAGGTGGCCGTGGTTGGCCTGCAGCTTGGCGGAGTAAAGGGAGTGGTCAGTGGTCAGAAGGAGCAGGGCCCCGCCTGCAATGCTGCAAATCCGGGATGCGGGAGCCCGCTGCAGGGGAGGCAATCCGCGCCAGTGCAGCTGCAGTGCCCTGCCCTTATGGTAAATGGTGAAGGACTCCCGCTCCTCCTGTCCACCAAATGCCGAGTCATCCGCTGCACTGGCCATGATGTGCAAATTTTTGTTGAGTATTTGGCCAGGGCCAAAGCTTTGTAACACGACGCAATTGCACTATTCACTGCAGGTCGTTCTCACATGGTGCACGTGCTCCGATCTTCGCTAGGCACTACCGGCACCGACGAACAGCATATGACGCAATCTGGAATGCAATGCTAGTTGTCGTCACGATGGGAATAAGTCTGTTCTCACTTGTATTAAACTGGCTAATAAGAATTCATGTTTTTGTGATGATTTTTTGGAATAGTGTGACCAGCGCAGTATGGTCCCAATAATAATTATTAAGTAAGGGTGTTCAGGAAAAAGTGCATCTTTCTAATTTATATGATTTGATAACAAATTTTAAAAACATAATTTATACCACATGATATACTTCAGGAACTTTTAGATATGCGCACTGACAAACATAGTAGACAAATAAATTTGGATGACACCCATTCGCCGCCACAAAAAAAGAAACACTACGCACAAAAAAATTGTTTTGGTATTTTTTCTTTGCGGCACACCTGTTTGTTTTTTCAATATGGTCATATTGTTTTTGCAATCAGCTGTTCGACTCAAAAGGTTTTGCAGATTTTGTTTATTTCGGTTAAAATGTAGTTTTATCGTTAATTAGGGAAAGTTACTGACAAGTAACATAATAACAATCGTCAATAAGCGTTCTGGGACTCCAACTAGTACGTTTCAGTGGAGACTTCCGTGTGGTAATACTGATTTGCATACGCCCACAAAACTTGTTTTAAGCCACGAACTCACCCTCAAAAAAAATTTTTTCAGCTCGGGTATGGATTCAGACTGCGAGGGCGCAAAGGCGTTGGCGGACGACTCTGGCCACTTTAGCTGCACCAGCGACGATGGAGGAGGAGATCCAGGTCAGAAACCGGAGCCGGAACCGGAACAATCAATGTTTCTGGTGCGGCAGGAGCTGCTGCGGACGCGCAGTGAGGTGGAAAGGCTCCTGAAATCGGAACAGTGGTACAAGCAGGAGCTAAAGTCCCAGAAGCACAGCAGGCTTGAGACTCTAGAACGATTGTATGCACAGGAGCGGAAGTATTTGATGGAGAACCAGAGGCTACAGCAAGAATCGATTCGCCTGCACACAAAATGTGCCACTCTGGAGAAGCAGCAGGAGCAGGCTCCAATTTCCCCTGGCTCATCCCCAGTTGAAGCGGACTCGGAGTCCCATGATTCCTCCTTTGAGGCCAAACTGCAGGAGTCGCGTCTACGGGATCAGCGTCAGTTGATAGACGTGCTCCGAAAGCAAAAGAAGATGCTTCTGGACGACATTCAGAGGCTCAGTCTGGAACACGAAGAGAAATTTTCGCAGTTGCAGCAAACTGTGGTCGGCATGGAGCTGGAAAGCAAGCACGTAACTGGGAAATGCAAGCAACTACTCGACCTAAACAGTCAAATGGAGTACCAGCTGAAGCTGAGAAGCACTGCCCTGCGCAGCGTCACCGCAGAGCGGGATCAGCTCCGACAAGTCATTGCTGAGCTTAACGAGACGCTGCAAGCCCAGGAGCACCTGCTAGCGTTAAAGGAACAGGAGTTTCTCGATTTGACACAGTACTACCAGCAAAAGTTGACCCGGGAAAGCAGCATGGAAATTATGCACTCTTATAGCATGAAATTTCACGAGGAGATTAACAGTAAAACAAGTGAAATAGCCAGCCTAAAGAATTCCCTTAACGAGCTCCAGACCGAGCTGATGCTGATGTCACAGCTCAAAGAGCAATGCGAGGAACAGCAGCGTCAGCTTGAGCAGCTGGAGTTCACCTTGCAGGCACAAATTTTGGAGAAGGCTCAGCTTAGGCAGAGCAATGCTCTAAAACTGGAGCAAGTGGAGAATTTAACAATTTCTTTGGCTTCCTTACAAATAGAAAAGGAAGGCTTAAAAGAAAATTTTTGTGAGGCGCAAACGACGTTGAAGAATCTAGAGCAAAAGGTGGACACTCTTCAAAAACAGTATGTCGAAATGTGTTTATTGTGTCAAAAGACCCAACAGCTATTGGAACTGGAGAAAATCGAGATTGGCAAAATAAAGCAGAACGGTTCCTTAAGGGAAAGTGAGTTAATGGAGAAGCTCAAAGATTATGCAGCGCAGTGTGACGAGCTAGGAAAAGCGTTGTCCGAAGCAGAGTCCCGTATCGATGTGCAAAGCAAAAATACAGAGAGCTGCCAAGCGCAGCTGAAACAAATCGAACGATCGACCCATTTAGAGAACAGACACAGCCAAGCGACACAAACGGACAGCGAAGAGCCTATTTTAATTCAACGCATTGAAGCTTTGGAACAGCAACTAGCGGATGTCAAGAGCCAGAAATTACACACAGTTTCGCTGCTCCAAAAACTGCTCCAACAGCAAGAAGCTAAAATCAAGAGCACTAATGAAATGGAAGCAGACTGGCGACAACTGTTAGATGCTCTGCAAGCTAGTCAAAGCTTGGAGCAGGAAATGCGGGCAGAGCTTCAGCATAAGGCGATTGAATTTGAGCACCTGAATGAGCTCTTTGCTGGACAAAATGACGAACTGCAGAAGCTCCAGAAATTGAGTCAGGCTAAAGACGAGGAGAATCGACTAGAATTACAGCTTTTGAAGGAAACATTCCAAGAGAATCTTGAGATACACTCTGTTGCTTCGATCAACATGCAAAGGCTGCAAAGCCAGGTAAAGTCTTTGCTAGATGAGAAGGAAGAAATTGCGCGAGAAGAACGCAAAGCAGTACAGTGTTTGCGATCTCTCGGTCAAGTTCTCGAGATGGAAACAGGGAGGAGGCTCCCACATATAAAAAGCTGGCCTCAGTTGGCCAAACTTCTGCGAAAAGAACTGCGAAACGGGAGGGTTAACAATCGAAAGGCTGAAGAGCTTCCTGGACTTAAAATGAAGCTGGCGGAGATTAGCAGTAGGCATCAACAAGCTTTGTCAAAAATTAAGGTATGTGGAGCCGTAGCCTCCTAAAATGATTCTTACAGCTATGTTTGAAAATGATAGTACAGAAAAGTAAGGACCTACTTTGTAACACAATGCAATGCTTTTCACAGTGCCTGGAGCAAACCTTGGTAGTGGAGCGAGCGCGTTTTGAGGCCTCTGACTCGGGCAAATCGACGGCTACCAACACGCCTCAGGAACCCGCCCATGAAGTGGCTAATCTAATTGATGACTACAAGAAGGTGTGTGAATTTGTGTTTCCCTACGATTGGGCTCTCTTGACTTTCCTTAAATTTATTTTCCTTGCCGCAGCTCGTTCAGCAAACCGCCAATGAAACATGTCGCCCTCGCAACAGCTTCATATTCGATCTGATCGAGCGGAGTCAGCGATGCCAACCGAATTTGTGCCAGTTAGGCGAGGGTATTTCCGCCTGCCAGTCTGATATGAAGGAGCTAAGCAGGCTTCTCAGTGCTGGTGGAGAGCAGAGAAGAGTTGAAGCCATGCCCTCCCTAATGGAAGAACTTCGAGCAGTGGCAGAGCACTCTTAGACGATGTAGTATAGTGTAATGTAGTTTTCAGTCAAATGCTTACAAATTTCCTTTTGTAGTACTTAATTGATTCGTCTCAAATTATGTTTTCCTGAAAGGTTCAACTATCGAAATTATATTCTTATTGAGTGTTTGTGCCTAGTCTCACAGACCTAATTTTTGATTAGATCCAACTTAGTTCAATTTAAAGAAATATTTATTTTGTTGTCTTTTGTATTAGTTATCTTAATTTATGTTAAATATTCTAGTTGCCAAACTATACCAATATTTTTTCTATAAGATATATAAACCATATTTGGTTGCCAAAATAAGGTGTAATTACTTTATAGTCCATAACACTTAACAGATAAATACCTTGTGTATTTAAAATATATTTGTGTGAAATCGATCAGGGCACAACATTTATTTTCGTGGGCACCGAGGAATTTTAGTACCATCGTTCTCCGAAATAACCTCCTTTTTGTCATATATCGTATTTCCGTCCTCGTCCACGTTTAAAACCTCCTGTATTACGCCTTTCCGAGTTCGCGTAATCCCACACCTCGGTTTACCCTGTTTATCCATGCATAAAATTAGGAGTTCGGTGTGCTGTAGCTTAGATGGCTTTAGGACCTTGGTTACCCTACAAGATGCCGTAATATTTTTAGGGCACGTTACACCGGCACATTGCCAGCCATCTAAGGGAATATTATTAAAACTATAAATGTCCAATACATTTTCATTCCATTTTTATCTAATCCTTACCCTTAGTTTTCTTCACCGTCGCTTCATTTAAGTTCTCATTTAGGTGGTTATCTCCATCTGCCTTAAAATAAATTGAAGATCTTATATGTTAACTTATAAGTTAAAGAATTTCGGATTCACTCTTACCACGGAGTAGGCAGGCAAAGATAAAATGGTCACCACTACCAGTATTGAGGATACACATATATTCATAACTCAGCCTTGCTTTTAGAGTTTTCCTCTAAGACTGATTCGTTCAAACCAGTCTGCTAATATATTGGATCGGCCTAATGCGTAATCCGTTCCACGGAACGAGGAAAATGTAATTATTATAAATAGGTATACCCTTATCACTTGTTTCCCATAGCTTGTATACATTTTTGACGCCTTACATTACAATTGTTATTCCTGCAACTCAATGTCCTTATTGTATTCACAATCAGTCACTTAAAAAGCGGAAAGCCTTTAAAGCGGAATCATGTCTTCCCAAAGATGACGTAAGCTGTGGCAAATCGATTTTGTACCTTCATATCCAATCAGAGACGGCGGTTATTTTTCTCCATTCCGCTCGCAATACATTAGGCCAAGGTACCCGACACCGCCCTTGGCATTGTCAACGCCTGGAACGGAATCCGGAGGGCCCGCAGGAGGAGGGGCGATCCACTTGGGTATTGATAAATGTGTTGAAAACTAAGCGACCGCCCCACGCCAGGCTCCCCGATCCTCGAGAAACCCTCCCGCAGCCGACTCGCGATGAGGAGCAATCGACCACAATCGCTGGTCAAATTCAATTGGCGCAATTTTTCATCTGTGGCTCCCAGGGATCCGATCTGGCGGATCCTTTTGGGCTGTTGCTGCTGCCGTCTATTGTTGCCCTGGGCTCTGGCAATTGTTCTCGGCTCTGGATCTCTAGAGCTATGGGGCCATGGGGCCATGGGGCCATGGGGCCGTGGGGATATGCGGCTATGAAGGTATATGGCTGCGGAGCCCTCGGCCCAAGGTTGTTTATTTTGAAAAATCACCATCACCCGATCGTGGCTTGTGCCGACGGATGGGGATTTAATTCTGTTCTCGACATTTATAAATTGCATTCAATTTATACAAAACACGAAAGCGTGATTTTTACATTTTTACAATCTAGCGAATAATAGATCAGCGTCGTATTATTGCAGACTCCTTGCTGCAATGCTCTTTGCAATGGAGCAATGGATTCCCTTGGGTCTTCAGCCTGTGCCATGGAGGAGGTGCCATTGGATTGGGTTGATTGAAGGTAGTGTTGCTCAAGCTAAATATAAAAAAGGACGAAGGACGCCTGTATTCAATGTGGTGCAAAAACTTAAGCCAATAAAATACTGAATAATCTAGTCCTTATTATTTTTTAATAATAATAATATTATAACTATTAATATGCAAATATTAATATCTGATTCTTGAAATTGACTGTTCTCTGTATTCATACAGTAAATACCTATCCTTTATAATTTCCTAACGTAAATAGCAATAATATTATAATCATTACATTATAAACATCAAATTTATGAAGCGTAGCCATAAACAATTTCTCACTCCATTCAGTAATAATACATTTTATTTAATCGGAGAAAATTTGCATTTCCACTTTTTTATTTCGTAGATTGGGGTTCATTTCATTTGGACGCAATATTAAACTTCCCAACTTCCCTGCCACATCCTGCAAAGTTGGCACATCGTTTCGTCCGTCCGAGGGTATCAATCGATTCGACGAGAGTGCTTTTCGCTGTACTTCACTTGGGTTCTTTGATTTCGGTTCTGTGTATTGAGCAGGTCGTTCATTAAAGCGGAGTAGTAGGAGGGTGAGGGGGTTCTGGCCAAACAAAAGGCATAAAAATTTAATTCTCACTAAAGCGATTGATGCGGTCGAAGTGGCTGAGAAACGCTGTCGAGTTCCGTCTTCTGCTCCGGCTGGGTCTCAAATCTGGAAGGCCAGTCAGTCCTAGTGCCAAATTGCAAATGCAACTTGTTAACCTTGAAAACCGAGCGGACGGATCAGCCGGCGGACAGATAGTCAAGGAGCCTGAACCGCAGATCGCGCACAGTATGAGGCATTTAGTCAGACGTCGTCGTGGTTGCTGCAGTTGTTCTTGCTGCTGATACCACTGATGCCGCTGTTGTTGTTGTCCGTTTGGCGATCCCTCGTTTGTCTAGCTGATGCACTGAGCGAAGTTTGGAAAGTCCTTGCCCAACACAGTTTCCCACTTTTGATGGTTCTAGTCATCGGAAACTAATTGGAAAATATAGTCCCCTATATATATATTATATAAAAGCATGTTTTCTGTGAATCAATATTGGCTCTATTTCACAAAGCTACACTAGTTCTTCGCAGTGCATATTGAATAATGCGTTTATGGCCAGATGAATGACACTTCAGACGTGAGTCCCTGGAGCTGCAGCTTACAACTGGCCACTGGCAACTGCAACTGGCCACAAACCACCGGCCACGGAGGCCAGGAAGGGTAAGGAAGCTGGGTCTGCCTCCTGGTGGTGCATATTTCATGCGTAAACTTTGGCTTTGGCTCGGGCATCCGCCACTATTCGTCATTTGTGCCGGGCCATGTCAGTGCTGTGTTTGAAAGAAATTCGTTTAAATTGTCAATTGTCTGGAGTCCTCCGTACTCCGTCCTCCGTCCGCCGCTCCCGCTGGCGCTGCAGCTCCGCGTGGAAACTGGTTTCCAGCCAGTCCTAATGAGGCGCATCAGCGGGAAAAATAACAGTGGGGAGTGGGGGTCGAAACGATGTGGCCCGAACCCTTTTAGCATTCAGGCATGATGGCTGGTGCTGGTGGCCCCACAGTGGCTGCATCTGGCTCCCAGGGCCTTGGTGCGTTTTCATTTAGCTGGCCAGGCACATTAAAGTCGAGTCAACTTACCCACATTCGAGCGGCATGTTTAGTGCCCTGCCGGTGGTTCCCATAACCAAATGTACACCTCTTGAATCCCATCCCATCCAAACGCACTCCCACCGGACGGGCCATTTCCATTCTGATTTGGTTTAAGATTCGGATCGGATCCTGCTCACTGGGTGTTGCAATGTCATTCCCTGCGTCTTACACACTAGCGCACTTTACAGCACGGCCATAAATAAACTTGTATCTTTAAGATAGAAGTAGTCGTAAAAAATCAGCAAATGACCCCGAATCCCTCGGTCTCCAAGTCGCGTGAGAGCTTTTTGCCCACTCCAGAGCAGACGAACTAGAACCGATCACGGAGAATCATCAAATGGCCAAAGAGCCAGTCTGTCCATTTGGGCCATTTGGGCCATTTGTTGCATCTTCAGAACATGTGTAAGTTCCATATTAAATTTTATATTTAGCGCACGACTTTGTGGGCATCATTTTCCCTTTTAGAATTTTGCATACAATGAACCTCAATGAAGATCCCAGTGGGATGATTTTCGAGGGACAAGGACTGGATCGTGATGGAAGCAACAATTGCGGTCATTAGAAAATTGACTTTTGCGATTGCTGAAACATTCATGGAGACCTAACCCATTTAAAGAGCGGGGAAACCAGAGCTCCACTTCGACACCCAGAATGATGAATTTCGGTCATAAGCGATTTTAATCATCTTGCCTGCCCATATGCAAAGTCATTTAAAATATAAATTACTCGGTTTCGCTCTCGGTATTTTCAGCTTAAATACATTATTCATAAGATGGGTTTTATCACTCCTAACAAGCCACAAGTGGCTGCTGGCCTTTCTTTACGCATAAATCATAATTATATTCACCGATTTACCTCTCCTCTTCCCCCTTGGGTATTGTCGATAAACACATCTTTCGGGATGACGAAACATCTCAATGAACCTGTGGCTTTAATGCTGAGCTACGTGGGCACATTTTAATTTACCTTCTAACGCTGCTGGAACACTTTGACCCAATTCATCTGAATTCAATTGAAGCATTTAAAAACCAGCCATAAAAGGCAGTTGAAATGGGTTTTTTGAGAGAGCTTCAGATGGTAGTTGGTTCAGCGAAGACCGTAAAAAATAATTAAGAAGTTTGTACCGAAAGTTATCGCATTGCTCTTTATCGAGTTGGTGGGATTATTTCCTGAACACTTGGTGAATTTTGGTAGCCAGACAGGTAAGACAGGTAACTTTTATGGTTTTTAGGAAAACTAACTTGAATATCAAAGCAATGCTAAGCCCTATTAGACCAAATCATTTGTAGGCCATATCCCAAAACTTAGTTTATAGTAAGCGATTCTATTCAAATGATCTAGGTAGGGTGTTCCCGCTTCGACTCTCCAATCTCTAGTTCAACTTTTTGGCTCTCTTCTGATTTCCATTATATGGACCCTGGTTATTTAATCAATGGGGGCTCAGTTGCGCGTACTCCACATAAAAGGGAAGACACTCCAGAGAGCGCTCAACTCAAAACACAGCTTCTCGGCCTGCGGATTGGTAAATTGATCTTGGCCCATTACGAAATAGTGGAAAGAACCGTTAAGATCCGCGGATAGCGACTGGAATCAATGACCCAAAACATTTTTGGGTTGCCCACATTCTGTTGCCTTGATTACGTCAAATGGGATTTGGATGCCAGCTGCTCCAATATGAGGCTTCTAGCTGGGCGGCTTCGATCGATAACTATGTAATGCATTAACATTTCTCCATTCCAGGGCAGGGGACTCCAAAGAGCCCGAGCCACGGGCACTGGAACGAGACAAAATGTCAATGGGAGAGCCTTGTTCCTGGCCTGGCGTCTCACCAGACGACATGCAAATAGCAAATAGAAAATAGAAAATAGCGCATAGCCAGATGCCAAGTCGAAGTCGAGGAGGAATCCGCAGCCCAAGGGGCCCATGTGTCTATGCAATTTAGTCAAAGGCCCTAACGGCATTCGAGCCAAATGCGTTTACGTTTACGCATCCGCTATAAACTCGTATGCCAGGTTGTTGCTGCCCCAGCCGCTTGCCGATTCTCCAAGCATGGATCTTGGAGCAGGGATGCCAGTCTAACCATTTTATGGATGTAGCTTCAAAATTCCGAAAGGGGATAGACTGAAAGAAAGTCCGAAAGCTCGAAAGTCGCCACAATCGGATATTGGATATGTGCAAATCCTAAACAGTTTGAATCGTTCTTACTTATTTCGTCGATTTTTGCTAATATCTATTCATTTTAATGTCCTACCTAGTTTCGAACTTCTCCTCTTTGTTATTCATATTTTGGTTAACTATATTTACAAAATAATTTATTTATACCCGTATGAATTCACAGT